TTAATTTTTTTTTTTTACTTTTCAAACATAAATTAGATAAAAATTTAACAATTTTCAACACAAATTTTTGCTCTTTCCATCCTTTCCAAAATTAATTTTTCACAGCAATTCTTTTCCCCTCATTCCTCAACACATTTCAATTTCAAATGAAATTTGTTCCCATAATTTTGAGCAATATCGTCTCCCCTCTACCAATTTTGATGACTACTTAACCATGAAATCCAAGATCAACACACAGAAAATCCTAGATCCAATGCCCGAGCCAATAATGCTGAAGCAAAAAAGAACAAAAGAAAAAGACACAACCAAAGAAACCTGTATTAGAGTAAGACAACAAATGAAGAAATTCAGAGAAAGAAAAAAGTTAAGGCACAAGAAAAACTCAAGAACCAAAAAAATCAAACTAGCAAATCTGTACTAAATTGAAAGAAGAACTAGAGTTTTTTCTTATCACCATTTCTTGATTTACACAAGAAAAAAAAAAGGCAATATAAAGGCAACCATTAGGATTTGGGTGTTGCAAATTGAGTGAGCAATGGTGAAGTTCTTGAAGCCAAACCCAACCCATTGTCCTTTAAGGTTGCCATCATCTTTCAAGGCCGCCATCATCCTTCAAGGTTGTTGTGCCAATTGCTAGGTCGTCATCATCAAGTCCTTTGATAATGGCAAGCGTGATCACTTCTATGGCCATTGCTTGGTCGTCGAGGTAAAAGTACTAGCCAAGGTCATTTGAAAGGACTTTGATAGATTTAGGATGAGGAGAAGAAGGGGTTGCTAAAGAAAGGTAAGAGCTTTAATGGAGACAAAGACTAGTGTGAAGATTTGAGGGCTTTGATGGAGGAAGGGTTAGCAAAGAAGAATCAGTGGTTGAGAAGGGGATTAGGTTTAGGCAAAGGTAGAGAGGATTAGGGATTTGGGCTTAGGAAGAAGATGAGGACAAAAATGGGAAATGAAAAGACATAGGGAAAATGATGATTTTTTCTTTTAATTATTTTAGAACCTATTGATTACATGGAAAATAAATTTTATTGACAACTCATCAATTTTGCAACGTGTAATCACATGTCACCATTAAAAAAAAAAAAAACAAAATATTGAACAGATTATAGTGTCACATTTTAACTTAACTGAGGAAGGGACTAAAAAGGGATCATATTTCAAATTTTATGGACCAAAAAAGGGTTTTTTTTAATATAAGGATCAAAAAGGAGCTTTCTTCAATAGTAGAGGGACCAAAAAGGGTATTTAACCTATTATATTTTACATTTTTTTATTATTTTTGTAAAAAAGGACTAGAGTACATGGAATTAGAAAGTTTGAGACTTAAGTATAACTCTTTAAAAAG